ATGTGTCTAAGGGGAGAGAGCGAGCACAAGACGAGGCAGAGTGATTGCTTAGACAGCGCTGCTGGACGGCCTCCACAGCCGCTGCAAGGAAGAGGGCAGGAATGGCTCTAGCAGCTGGAGGTATCCACGAGGCCAGAATACCCTTCTACCTCCACATCCTCGTCCAAACCGAGTTTACACCCCCCAATCCTTGGCTGCCCCAACTGCTCCTATACATCGTTCTTTCACGCTCAGTGCGGTGGTCTCATGGAAAATAGCCCCTGGGGCTTTTGATGTGGCTCATGGGCACCAGAAGGCACCTACTCAATCGACCACCTCCCTAAAGGAAGAGACCTGTGGGGTTTAGGACCCCCATTACTGCCTAGTACTCTTCCAAGGTCCTTTGATGCCCTGTTCAAAGGGACCAGATGGAAAACTGAGCCCCTGAGAGTGGGGGATGCTGCTGGTTCTCAGGGATTCAAGAGCCTGATGCTCTCTGCTTATGGATTAACCATCCACTTCTTTCTCACAGAAACTCCACCACTAAACAGGAAAGGGACGAGAGAGGGTGGAACGCAAATCATGGTATTCCTGATGTGTGAGTGGTTCTGGTAAAAGGTTTAAAGGAAAGAGAAGGCAGGTAAAGCCATTGGTCAGGGTGAAGGTTTAAAAGTCTGATTATGCACAGACCTCCCCATATCACATAAATAACCAAGACTTGGCTGTAGCTACTGTCTCTAAAGATAGTACAAACAAGGGGAACCCATCTCAGAACTCCTCATGTTTAGCTTAGAGCAACTTACTTATTCAACCAACTTTTTATTGAAAAAGAAATAAAGGGAAGAGCATTGGTTTCACTATCAAATTCTGTTTCTTTCATTTCCTCCTCCCTACTCCAACCTCTGCCTTTTTAGAAGATATAAGCAGCCCCAATGTTCTCCTGAAGAGTAAACCCTGGTCCCACAGTCTTCCAGCAGCTGTTCTACTTTGCCTGATCCATTTCTGGACTCTTGTTCAAAGTTTGGGTAAAAAAATATAATCTTGAGATATGAAAAATGAAATGTATAATTAAGGAATAAAAATTCTTTCTAAAAGAGCCAGCTGAGGGCAGCAAATTCCCCACGAAATCTAATTTTCTTCTCACACTTCTTAGATACGGTTTCCTGTGGTCGGCCCACATTTCCCCAGAATGGAATATGTGGTTAAAGTTTAGTAAAATGCCAAGTTTTTTCTTAGGTTTTTACTTAGTATTTGCTCACAGCCAAGGTGTTCAGGTTAACAGTGAATGAGAGCCCGGAGTCGAATGGCTGCAGCCTGGCATCCTGCCAGTAGAGGGAGCCCACAACCCCTTCCACTGCCAGCCGCTGCAGCCAGGTGGAGCACGGCCCTGCGGGTTAGGGTTAGCACTGGGTGTCACAGAGCGCGACTGTTTAAACAGCTGCACAGATGCTGACGGGGGAGTGGTGCCTTTCCCTAGTGATGCACACGGGAGAACCGAACAGGAAACCCTTTACCTCACTACCCGAACAAGTCACTCCAAATGATTTTTCCCAGAGAATCGAGAAACACGACCCCTTCCCCTCACCCTCCGCACCTTGAAATGCTATCCTGCCTGTATTGCTTTCTGAGTTATGATATTCAATGTCATATAAACACACAGACTATAATGTCTCAAGAGGATAGCTTACACCTCAGAGATGTCCCCTGCCCCCCACACTGGGCCTTGGAGAACATAACCGTTCATTTACGCGCTATCACCTTTCACCAGGGGTTCCCAGAACTCACTTCACTGAGCTTCAGACTGTCAGTGTGAGAAAATTCCTAGGGGTCAGGCTGGGAGGTCTGCACTAGGGAGAAAGACTACCCAAGCTGCTCTCTGGTCTCTGCCAGCCAGGCAGTTTCTTCCTGTGTCAAACAGGGGTAACGAGATCTCTCTTTCTGGGGAGCTTTGGGCAACACTCATAGTTTGGAGCAGGTAAAAAATCTAGTGGTTAGGGACCAGCTGGGTACAACCAGAGGTGATAAGAAAACTGTGTGTGGCAAAGGAGAGGTAAGAGAACCCTCAACTCTTATTATAAGCCCAAGGAGACAGCCTTATACCATCAAGAAGTTTCCATGTTTTCAAGTCTCACATCTAGGAAAGTGGAAGGCAGGACCTACCAGTGTTCACCCAGAAATGGAGCCAGGCCCCTCAACAAGAACTGCAGCCCCTTCCCCTCAGGCTCCCTAAGGATCTTACCAAGGACACGTCATCCAGGATGAGCCCAAAGGTTGCTGCTCGCTCTGTCAGGTCATCGCTCACCTGTCTGGAAACCAGTTCTCTCTGAGTGATTAGTTCTCCAGCATCAAAGCGAGCCTGGTTTCAAAGGGAGGGACAGAAGAGCAGGTCAGGTTAATGAGGAGGCAGAAAAGGAACTAGGAAACCAACAGCCACATCCCAACCAACCCACTACCAAGCTCTCCCGGCCACCCAGCAACACCTTGGGGCTGTGCTCTGGGCTCGAGGCTGAGGGGCCCTGTACACTCACCACCACTGACTTGAGGATCTCTGTAGTGATGGACGGCAGCACACGCTCATCGTAGTCCTCTCCGATGCTGGTGAAGATGCGAGGAAGCTGGCTAGCAACGGGCCGGAAAAGGATACGCAGTGTGATGTTGACATTCTGTAAATCTTAGAGTAGGGGACAAACACTGGAGTTAAACATAAAAACCAAAGTGGGGAAACAAGCGGCCTCTCCTATGTCCTAGCTGCAATAATTTATAAGTAAACTTGCTGACTGTAAGACCCTAGAGGGCAAGGAGCATTCATGCCTGGTTTCCTTGGCAGAGAACCCAGTAGAGCATCACACAGAGTTAAGAACCTAAAGGTCTCAGTGATATCAGCAACTTGGATTGTATGTCTAATAGGTGCCATGTAATGTTCGAAACACTGAGAATTTTAAGACAGCCAGGCCAATACCAAGAATTCTATGGTGAGGCCCTTCCAAGGCCTGATGAATGTGGCCCAAGTGATGGGTCAGCCTTGGAAAGGCTGGTGTGTCCAGTGAATAGCACTAGACTAGCAGTGCAAAGACCTGGGCTGTAGGTCCAACCCCATCCTGCTGTTTACTAATTATGTGGCCTCACTAAGCCTCAGCCAACCTGAGCTTATCTCCTTGTCTGTGAGAACGGGGATGATTTCATCTGCCTTCCAGGCCTTGCAAGAATGTTGGGGGAAACTGAACTAGAACACAGATATAAAACACTGTCAAATGGGTAACAGATGTAAGAGGTTATCAGACTCATGTATGGTCCCGATCGACCTTCTCATTACTCAGCCCAATCAAAGGACCCAGGGAGGGAATTATACCTTCCCCTGGACAATTCAGGCCTGCTCGGAGCTAAAGCACCATCACAGCTTGCTCGCACTCATCAACAGTATGGGCCAAGTGCCCATGAGGTAAAGTCCTGAACCAGACACCAAGAGGTGGGAAACGTATTAACACGTAATAGTCCCTGGTCTCTGGAGGTTCCTTTCAACAGTTTTGGAAGTAGATACATCACGTATCCTTAGAACAATAACAAAACAAAACAAAAGAAATCCCAAAGAGGAGGAAGCTCAGAAGTAGGCTTTTAAGTTAAAGTTAATGTTTCTCCATTACCCCCCACCCCACCTTTTATTTCCTCTTTTGTAGCAGGCAAGCCAGACCTCTCACAGGAGGCTGCTTCTCCTTTCCGGCTAGAAGCAACAGAAAAAGATTTACCAATTATCCTTCCCCCTCTTCTCTGCCCAACAAATTTCTCCTTCTTCAAGTCTCAGCTCGGACATCAGTTTCTTACAGGAGCCTTTCCAGCACCCGTGACAGCTAGCTGCTCTCTTCTGTGCTCCCCTACACACCATATGACCTGACCCTGGTCCTCCCCCCACTCTACTATAATTGCTTGTTCACATGTCTATCTTCCTAGCCAGACTGAGCTCCTTAACGGCTCCTGTTTTCGTCATCTTTGAACTCCCTCCATCCTTCAGCCCAGCACAAAGCCTGCACAATCCCAGTAAGGAAACATCTGCTGGGGAATAGCACAGAAGGCATTGAGTGTTATCAAGATAATAAACCAATACCAATGTGACCCTCTCCTCTTTATGTGCATAAATGTCACTGCTGAACCACATCTGCTATTCCATTTACTGCCTGTGTTCCTCTATGGGTAGGATGGGAGAGGACAGTGATGACAATTCATTTCAGGCTCTGACTGGAAGTCCAGTGGAGTGTCACAGATGCCAGGAGAATGCTCTCAGGGCTCAGCCTGCAAGATGACGTGAGGTCTGCACTGCTGCATCACAGGCCACAGAAAGCAAGGCAGAGGGTAAGTCAGCTACTATGGCAGACAGACAGCTAGAGACTGGTTTATATAGTCACTCTGGAGAACAACAGCTGATGGGAAGGGTCAACCAGGGAGCAAAAGGCACATTTATATTTCTTTAAAATTAGATCACTGTGTAACTCTTAAGATATAGCCTTGTATATTTCTCTAAGCTTGTACTTATTGCTGTCTGTGTGTGTACCTTAAGTATCTATTTCTATGAATCCATATAAAGCTCTCCAGGGCAAATATGCTAGGAATTCTTATGATGTAAAGTCCAATCTCTTTTGGATCCTGGTGTCCCACAGATGCTTCTGGACCTAATGAAAGAGCACAGTACCACTTCCACACTCCCTACTTTACCTGATCCACAGGTAAGACTCACCTTTGCTCCCAGTAATGACTGGAATGTTACGTGGTCGAGAGCGGCAGTCAAAGATAATTGGCTTCTGTACCCAAGGGATGAGAAAATGAGTTCCTTCCCCTACCACAATGTCCTGCACTCCACGGAACCGGTCAAAGATGACAGCTCTGTGCCCAGCATCCACTAGGAAGGAAGGATAATGACGGGTCAGAAAACCCCTCTTTCCCTTTACCCCAAAGTATCATGTCTTTGAAAGATCCCTGGTGCTTTCTGTTCATTTATTAAGTCTCCCCTCTCCTGCTCTGTCTTCCCAAACTTCTGGTCTCTAGAGGCTTCTAAAGAGCTACAAAACTAAGCAATCACTTCCTAGCCCACATTTCTCTCTAAGGACTTTGGTACAAGATCTGTTCCTTACAGCATCCTTTCTCCTTGGCTTTCTGATTAACCATCCCATCCCCAAACTCTCACCAACACATTCCCAGGAATCGCTTCCCAAAACTTCTAAAACTTGCTAAGGTCTTCACTGTTACCACAAGTCCATCCTGGCTCCAATTCAACCCAGTGATCCCAGAAACAGCACCCTCACTACGGGAATCCTAAAATTTATAAGGTCCCACTCTTTCTTTCTAATAACTCTGTTTCTCTAAAGTTTTAAGGGGTTACAGAGCTGTCGTGTTGACTCAGAGAGACATTCAGGAATGGCAACTACTGTTTAGTTATACAGGTGGAGGCCAAAAGGATCACAGTATAAAGACGTGCCATAAACGTATTAAGATTTGTACCGTGGCCAGAAATTAATAATAATAATAAAAATAATAATAATGATGATGATGATGATAAATAAAAAATAACTATTATTAAAAAAAAAAAAGATGTGACATATAAGCCAAGCAGCCTTCTCTAATCAGTTACTGTTTCTGCCTCTCTGAACCTCCTTACAGTTAGTCAAAATATCTTCACTCTGAAAGTAATCCTCCTTTTGTCAGCCAGGTAGGTGAATCGACTGCTGCTCTCCAGCACTGAAAGTTACAGAATGATAGAGTTGGAGGGGATCTTGGAGATAAACTAGTTCAATCCCACTGCTCGACCAACGAGGAAGCTAAGACCTAGAGAGTGGGAAGCAACTTGCCTAAGGCCACACAGTAAAGTGGAAGAAGAGCCGCTTAAACTCCTGCCATGCTGTTAAAACCTGGGCCACGCACCTCGAAGATATCTTCTCTGGAACTACACGACTTCAGTAGAGCAAAAGCTCCTGCTCAGTACAAGATTACCCAAACAGGTCTAAAGTCTTTGCTGAGTTGCTCCACACACAAGCAGAAGAGAACAAATGAGATCTCCATTTAAGCAAGCTGGTAAAATCCTGACACTCTGCTGCATTTGGGTGGTGCAGCATCACTTCGAATTGACAAGAGCAGCTGCAAACATTCATCCAGCAATTGGGCTGGAAGGCTCTTTTTGAATAAAGGCTCTGTGAGAACCTTTGACTAAAGGAACAGGTGCTCTAGTCACAATGCATCCCATATGACGTGGGATGGCAGTAGATGAGCCCTCTTCGTCACAAACAGCAGCTACTATCAGGAGTGTCATCTGGGCTGTGTAAACCAACAGAAATCTTCCAGCAAAAAGTGGTGACCCAGCACACCTCAGGGCCTCACCATTATATAAGGCAGAGTTCACCACGCCTCCTGCAACAGCTAAGGCCAGGCCAAACTTGCCGATGGACTCAAACACTTTGGCAGCCATGTTTCCTTCTGCTGGACCCACTTACACCTAAGGGGTAAAAACAAAACAAAATAAAACAACTTGACCCCAGATCCTGAGAAAGCCCTCTATGAGGCACAGCATTCACTTTTCAAGCTGGCTGTTTTCCCCCAACTCCCGCAGACTCTAAATCATCGACTGAAGGGCATCTAATATACAACACTGTGCAGCTTGTGAAGTACAGAATCAATTCCTCTGCTTTTTTCTTTTTCAGTTTCTTTTTCAACTATTTAAAGAAGTGGGTCTGGAGCACCTGGTTCAATAATAGGAACAAGGCATGGGTTTGATATCCACAGAGAACTCAGCAGCACACTAAACCACTCTCCCACTTCCTGGACAAGTAGGCCCCAAGGGAAAGGCAGTGGTTGGTTCTGTGCAATTTTAGTTTGAGCAAATAATTCAAAGAATGTGCTACATGGTGACGCCAACACCAAAAACAACAGTAACAGTTAACACTTATATCAGGCAGTCTTCTAAGAGCAATTTAATCCTCATAATTGCCCTATGAAGTAATTATTACAGATGAGGAAACTGAGGCACACGGAGAGGTTATGTGAGGAGCCCAAGCTCACACAGTTATTAGGTGGCAGAACCAGAAGCAGTACCTAGAGGCCTAATGCTGGAAGGCAGAGCTAAACTCCTCACCATACTGCTTCTGAACATCATGTAATAACGATGACCTGTTATTATGGAAGCAAGGGCTGGATGACATTCTGGAACCAAGATAACAGAAGAACCAACTTGGCAGAAAGGCTCTAAACAGCGGCACGGTGAGGGAGAGCTCGGGAAGAATCGGGAGGGTGGGGTTCGGGAGCACAGCTGCCCTAACCAGAAACCAGGCCAGCATGTAACTTTTTAATGCCCCGCCCCAACGTCGTCCGTTTCAATCGCAAGTCCTCCCTTCCTCCCTCCTTCCCAGCGCTCAACCCAAGACTACCTTAATCTCTCCACTTGCATTTAAGTTCTCCTTCTCTGAGTCCAGGACACCCAGTCTTTTCCATTTCTAATAGCTTCTGGATTATTCCTCACCCTGCCCCCCCCACACACACCTCCTTTTCTCTGCTCAACCTCTGGCTTGTCCGCGATCAGCTCCTTTTCCCTCCCCCACGAGGCGGACCCACACACGCACCCCGCGCGCCTACAATGAGTATGGGAAGGCAGAGAAGAATTGCAAAGCTACCCAAATACAGGCCCTGGCGTCCCCCACCATACTCACCTGATTCCACTCTGACCTCCACATGAATTCCCCAGCCACACATACTGAGCGTGCGCCGGGTAGCTCCCTCCTCTTCCCCGCCCTCTTTCTAAGATCCGCGCCTCCGATTGGTGGGGAGGAGCGCTGTGAATTCTGGGAAGAGTAGTTTGCAGCGTTACGCTACTTCCGCGACCCTTCTCAGTTGAACTACGATTCCCAAAAGGCCGTGCAGCAGCTGGCCTATGCAGGAAAACCTTTCCTCTTTGGCCATAACCCCTGAGGTGTTGCCGCAAAGCCTTTTGGGGCTGTAGTTCCTTGGGGATAAATGCACGTGCCTGTTTGTACTAGTGCTAGAGACTGCCGGGAGTTGATCCCTAGGGTCCTGGGAAGGAGAGGCTGGGCCTCCCGCTGGTGGCACACATAGTTAGGGACAAATTCATGGTGAGAGATCCAGGATGTCTGGGCACCTTGGAGGAAGTTGTGGTGAGATAACTTGTGGCCCGAGAGTCCTTGAGGGAAGTTGAGGACGCCTGCTGTTTGAAGTCCTATCTGGAAACGTCCTCAGAGTCGTGAGACATGGATTGTCAGAGCCAGAGAGAACCTTAGAAACCATCTGGACTAGAACACTGAGACTGATAGAGAAGAAGGGATTCATTCAGGGTCATGCACCAAGTGAGCGTAGAGGCTTGGCTTAGATTCCAGGTCCCCTGGACACAATTTTTAAAAACCATTTGATTTGGGAAAGTTGTAGGAACAAAATACAAAGAACACATGTGTACCATTTACTCGGATTCACTTATTGTTAACACTTTGCTCCATTTGCTTTATCATTTGTTTCCTCCCTCTCCCTTCTCCTCCCCCTTCTTCTCCCCCTCTCGCTTTCTCTCCTCTTTCTTTCTCTGTATTTTCTAAGAATAAGGAATCCTCTTGAGTAAATGTAATCCTTCCTCTGCATTCCAATTTGTAAATTGACCTAATAATGAACTTATAGCATCCCCCGAATATAGAATGCAGTCTAAGATGAAGTACTGTATTTATATCTAATGTCTCTTTAGTCTCCTTTAATCCGAAAAATTTCCTCAGCCTTCTTTTGTCTTTTATTACATTAAAAAAAAAAAAAATCCAAACACATTTCCTTTCCCTTTCCCCTCTCCCTGCTCCTTCCAACTGCTCTGCAACAACATCCTAGAATGTAAAAAAATGACATTTTTTTTTCCCTTTTTTTTTGTCTTTTTTCGTGACTGGTAACGGGATCGCAACCCTCGGTGTCGCGCCCGTACTGCAACCGGCAACAGGATTGCAACCCTCAGTGTTGCGGCCGCACCGCGCTCAACCAGTGAGCGGACCGGTCTCTATATGGGATCTGAACCCTCAGTGGGAGCGCCGCCGCACTCCCAAGCGCCACACTCTACCGAGTGCGCCACCGGGCTGGCCCCAAAAATGACATTAATAAAATTACATTTTCTTTAAAAAATAAACTAAAATAAAATAAATAAAAACAAATACCCCCCCCCCAAACAAAACAAAACCTGTTTCTCATTTTGTATTTGTCTGATGTTTCCTCATGATTAGATTCAGGTTTTGCGTTCCTGGCTAGGATACTACATAAATGGTGTATGGACACTTAATTTTAACAAAATTAGGCACATTTCTGGAGTCTACTGGGATTGGGTTCTTTTAACTTATTTTTTCTACATTTGTCTCCTCTCTGTCCCTCTTCTTTGTCCCCATTTTTTTTTTCCTTTTTGTCTTTTTTTGTGACTGGCAACGGATCGCAACCCTCAGTGTCGCGCCCGTACCGGACCGGACCGGCAACTGGATCGCAACCCTCGGTGTTGCCCCCGCACCTCGCTCAGCCAGTGAGCGGCCGGTCTGTATGTGGGATCCGAACCCTCGGCGGGAGCGCCGCTGCACTTCCCAAGCGGCGCACTGTAGCAGTGCGCCACCGGGCCGGCCCTTTGTCCCCATTTGAGAGGATCAAATGACTGGAGATATCCGTGGCAGCACTCTTCAGGTGGTATGAGTTTGTACCAACCAACCTTAACTTTTTCTTCTCATCTCTAGAGTCTATGAGATCTGGAAGTTCAATCTGATGTCTTCATTGTTCCATTCTCAGCACAGCACACAGTAGGCGCTCACTAAGTATGTGTTGAGTGAATCAGTGACGAAGGGTGTCGAAGTGGCTGGTTAGCCTCTGGTCAGATAAACAAGATAGGGTGCTCCAGAGTCTTGCAGAGTTTGCTTTTAATCCAATCTCAATGTCAGAAATGCTGAAAATATTAAAAGTAACCAATTTTTCTATAATGTTTTATAATGTTCAAGTCTGTACACAGCATCTCACTTGAGCAGTACTACAACCCATCATCCTTATTTTACAGATAAGGAAATTGAGGTTCAGAGATTAAATGGTTTGCTCATGGTTACTAACTTAGAGCCAGACTGGACTGGAACACAGGTCTTCTGGGTCAAAGCCCTGTATTCTTTCTGCTTTGCCACATTGTGTGCTGGGAAGCAAAGGAAACAGGAAAACTCATGTGGTATGAGGGCTTTGTATGGACCTGGGCTAGTTTATAGATGGAGAAATGGGGAGAAGACAGCATAAGGAAACTCAGGAAGGTATTTGGGAATAATTTAACTGATGAAGCAAAGATTAGGAACAGAGCAGCATTAGTGCATCAGCCTTAGGAGTGGGCCCAGTTTGCTGCTGCATAGAGCATGTTTCCCTTCAGCCTCCCTCCTCAGCTAGGTGCAGAGGTCGGGGATAAGAACAAATACATCTTGAACACCTACTGTGGACCAGCTGCTTCATAAATACATAAACTTATTTAGCTATATTTTCATATCTCCATTTCAGAAATGAAGAAATGGAGATTCAGAGAAGTCAAGTAACTTGCTTATAGTCACACAGCTGATAAATGGCAGATATGTCTGGTACCAAAGCCTGTGCTTTTTCAAGTTGTGGGAAGGGGTGTTCTATAAGTAATATCTTTTTTTTTAATTTATAAGAAAAATGAAATTTATTTCTTACAGTTTTAGAGGCTGGGAAGTCTAAGGTCCAGTGGGCACATCTGATGAGGCCCTTCTTCCTGGTGGGGCCTCTGTAGAGTCTCAAGGAACATCCCGTGGCGAGGATTGAGCAAGAGCGCTTTTATGTGGTCGCTTGCTCCCTGTTAAAGCCCCCAGTCTACTCCCTGATAACCCATTAACCCATTAATCTAAGAATGAGTTAATTCATTCATGAGGGCTAGTCCTCATGATCTAATCACCTCTTAAAGGCCCCACCTTTCAAATACCATATTGGGGATTAAATTCCAACATGTCCTATCTTCAAAAATCTGTTTTATCTATTCCTATACCAGTTCTTATACCTTTTACAATGTCTGGACTCTTGTACTATATTAAAGCTAATGATGATGGTGATTTCCCCTCAAATTTTGAGTAAAATTCCCCTTTAAAACCCCCCCCAAAGCTAAAGATTAGCAATAAGATGTAAGTTTATAACCTTCTCTCACTAAAAGTGGATAACCCCTAAAACTGCTGTCCCTCTTTTAAAAAGTCCAGGATAGTTTTGGGAAGAGGGAATTTTGGAGTCTCACTGGCCATCTAAGGGACTAGAAAGGTCTTTCCCCAGGGCGAGTTATGGGGCTGATTGTGTAGTGCTGAGCTATACTTGGAAAAAAAAAAACTCTAGTTTTTACAATATTTCCATGGAAATCAAAGTGATACTGACCCAGATATTTGGCTTAAAAATCAGAAAAAGGAAAAAAGAGAGTCATATGCAAGAGGTAAGAAGATCTCTTTTCTAAGTTGTCTGGTATTTACTAGACTTTGATCAGAGAAATCCAAAGCCTACCATACTGGATGTATTCTGGAATTCCAGGCTGTTCTTCGACTGTAGGCTGCAAAGTTTGGGCTTGTCCTACTGGACCAGTTTTGTCGAGGAGATAGATCTACAGCTGGACCCACAGAAGCACTGAGAGACGAACCCTGTCTTCCTAGCTGGGGCCTTGTGGGTGGGAGATACTGATAATAGACAGTGGAAGGAAGAGCTGGACATCTCATCCCCATCAGGAAAACAGTACAGTTCTATGATTCGGGCTAAGTCATAGGTATCAGGGTACAAAGCAGGAACTGAGGCCACTAGCCTCTCCAACTGAGGATCTTGCATTTGAAAATCACTTGGGGAACTCTCAGTGAAGATAGAGTCCCATGCCTGACTGGAAGGGCCTAAGGTCTAAGGTGGGAGCGAGCTATAGAAATACGAAACCACAGGAAAAAGAGAATAAGGACTGGCAGATGTGCTCGGTGAGATGGGCATATTCTTCTTGGCTGAAAGGAATTGCTTTGGTTGTTTTAGTGATTGCTGCTGTTGCTGCTGCTGCTTCCTCAATTCCAATTGCCTGTGCCTGAACCAAACCTTCACTGTTGACTCCAGTAGATTGAGTTTCAAAGCTAGTTTCTTCTGGAGATTTTTATCTGGGAACACGGTCTGGCTAAACAGAGCCTCCAACTCTTCATACTGTCTGTGGGTGAATGTGGTACGTTCCTGATGCCTCTTCCATATTGTAGAACTAGCTGGATCCTGTGGTATCACGTTCCTGCTGGAATCGCTCATGATGGTAAAAAAGTCTGGCTGGTGATTCTCTGGGGCCATTCTGTTCATCTGGGTTTCTGAAATCTGGGATGGAAGGCCTGTTGTGAATCCCCATGGAGTGCCCATTTCCAATCCTGCTTGACGTGTCTCCCCTCTGGAAATGCAGTTTCTTTAGTTGTAAGTAATATCTTTTTTTTTTTTCCTTTTTGTCTTTTTTTTTTTCGTGACCGGCAATGGATCACAACCCTCAGTGTCACGCCCGTACCGGACCGGGAC